AAAATCTTTGTAAAACGTTACAAAAATTGTACAGAAGATGTAACAGAGCACAAGAACACAATTCGTCGCGGGAACTTTTACGCACGAGATAATCGCATTTTAATAATTGTCCGTCATTCCCTTTCATAGCTCACCTTCTGGCTTTTAATTGAAGTGCTATAAAAAACGAACGTAGATTGGAAAGAAATTCTTTGCTGTCGTCATGGGATCATCGGAGAAAACTGCGATCAAACGACAGCAAAATTCCTATAATCGTAATGGTATTGAAAAATTTCTACGCTGTTTAGTGACAGCGTAATGAAAGTTTAGTAAACAAAGTTTTTAAACTCAACTTTTCCCAAAACAAATTATTGGCAACTGTGAACGTTGTAATGATGGAATGGTTTAACACTGGATGACAGAATTTAGTCCTAGTCGTATATGGATAAGCCCTGCTTAGGTTGCCGAAAGACATTGTCAAAAACCATTGAATTTAATCCGCGACATTGATTGTTTGTGAGCTAATTAAGATCGTGAAGAACTCATATGGGTATCATATGGGTCTAGGCTTGATATTTTGCGCGCAATGCGGGATGAAAAGAACTTAATAAAAATAAAAATGCATTCATATAGCCCCTCCAATGAAAAGCTTTCAGGTATCTAAGGCAATTATCTCAATTTTTGCATCGTTACATAACTACAAATTAACTATTATTCATTAAAGCAAAGAGCAGAATTTTTTGGGAAAAAAGTATCAAAGCGCCCAGTCAGGCTGATTCTACACTTTTGAATACGTAAAGCAATAAAATTGGAATATGAATTGCCTCCACAACATGATATTCTGTACAAATTGCCTAAGGGAGAAATAATATTATGTAACACGTCTTTTTAGTCAAGATACGCTCATGACTTTCTCAGGTAATCTTTTCCAAGAAACTTGTAGATAATTTGGATCTTCGTTTTTACCACATCAATAGAGATACGAGGGTAGATTAGGTTTATGCAACAATAAGATTCGGCACCTAGTTTTTACCACCTGTGCATCCACCCGTCCATCTGTTCATCTTGTTTTCTTGCGTTCAACGTACAAGTAGCAAGTTTACGAGATACGATTTTGATCAACTTTGGTACGACGATATTTGTGAGCCCAAGGACGGATGCAATTGGAAACAGTTTCGATCAAATCACTTTATCAATCAATATATATTGAAATATTATATGAATAACTCTTTTAGGTGAAGTGGTGTAGAGTGGCCCTATTGAACTTTTCAATTGGGCCTTTCCTTAAATTTCTTCATTCTTATAGGCAAATTGGTTTATTCCTGTGTTACGTTTAGAGGTTATGTGTGCGAGGACGGCGCACACAGAGTCCACAGTCAGGAGTTGAATCTTGCGTGGCATATACAATCAAGAGATCATAAAATCCGACGCTTAATGGTTGGACTAATTCTTTACCTTGGATAGCTTTTAGAAAGTGTACAAAAAAATAAAATAAATAATTATAGGATGCCATGCAGAGATTGTATGATTTCCGTAAAAAACAAAGAAACGAGAGTGGTTAACGATAAATGTCAGTAATGTCTTTAAAAAAATTTCTCCAGATTAAAGCAATCGTTAGTTATTTGTTACGAAAACTCTCTTGAATATTATTATTAATATAGTAAAGATTACGCAAAGATGCAGTAAAGTGTACCTAGACTCTGAACTTTGCGATGTCAATAATTACGTATTTGTTAGTCGTTAGTTCAAAGTCTTACTATACGCTATGAAAATTAAAAAACTTCATCACAATCATGGAATTTCTTAAAGGAGGACAATGGTTACACCAAAAAAAATTCTGTAAATTAAAGAAAAAGACAGAGTTTAGTAACTTCAATATTACGGAAATCTTTTGGGTAAACCTGGAAAATTTCAACAAAAGATCACAAAAATTTTGACCTGCAAATAGCAAAATACATGGACAGGTATCAGACAGATTGGCAGACCAACGGAGAGACATGCTTAAAACGAATCGGGAATTGATTTTGAATAAGAGGTGCACGTACCTCAAGACTTTCTGAGAGTTGCATTAACTCACTGTACCATACCAACATAGTGTAATATGAGTTCTCCAGTGTATAGACATAATGGCAATCATCACAAAAACAGATTTCCATTAAACGATTCAATTCGTCTAATATAAGGCCATGTAAGAGTTGCTTGCAGTTCTAAATAACTTGAAATAAATTTACCGCAAGTGGTACGTGGCGTAATAGTAGAATATACATATATATCAAAAAATATCACAGCAATTTGGAAACCGTTTATTAAAAAACATTTAAAAACATCGAAAGTTAAATTTGTTAATTACCTCAATGGAATATGTATTCAGTTTGATTATTGAAAACCGATGAAAAAACTATAAACGCTGTGGAAATGAAATTCGAGTTTGATTGACTATGGATATTGAATATTTGTGCATTTGTGGCGAAAATATTGGAGCATACTAATAAATAAATGTAATTATCATAAAAAATCAAATTTACATATATATACACAATTTTCTATTTAATTGAAACGTTTATTTAGTCCGCCAGGGAAAAAACCTAATTAAAGATAATTTATTTACAATAAATGCATAATTCACGCCATTGTAAAATTGTGCTCTTTTTTTTTATTTATTTATTTTTTTTATTTTTTATTTTTTTCGAAATGTAAATGTTATTTTTTAATTTTGATAATATTTTTCCATCCGTATGATTTGCAGCCCATTAATTAAATGTAAATTAGTTATACATGATGAGGTTTTTTAAATATCTATTTCAATAAATTTGTTACATTGTGTATTGTAAACCATCAGGTAATTGAATTTGATTTTCATTTTATAATATTTTTTCTATGAAGAAAGATGATAATCGTGTTCATTCGCTTAATCGCTGAACTAAAAATGCTTTTTGATGCAAACAAATTTATGAATTGATTATAAAAAAGCGAAAAGATAAATAAAAACACAAATTACTTATATCCAGTTCAGCTGTCAAAGACGAAGCACTTTGTTGATGTAACTCTAGCTTTATCTATCCTTTTTTTTTCTTTTTATTCTTTTGCTTTTATTTAATTTGTTAACAATTTTTAAACATACACCTTATTCTCCGCTTGCACGATTATTTCTAGCCGTAATTTGATTTAAAACGAATTAAAAAGAAAAAAATTCTCTTTTTATACGAATTGTTTTGCTTTGACACGATTTTTCAATAATCTTTTCTATGAATTTTTTTAATGAATTTACTATCTCTTTTTTTTGATGCTTCTATAAATTCCATTCATACACACACACACACACACACATTCACATACGCACAACATGCATCGTAATTGCGCGTCAAATCTTCCACAATTCAGTTAGATTATGTCCATTATATGATTCCCCGAAGTAGACTTAAGACGTAATACATTTTTGACGCAATTTTCTTTGGTTTGTCAAGCTGCTGTTTATTTTGCATAATATATTTAATAAATTAAAATGTTCATGTACAAATTCAATTGTTATCATCAAAATTATACGTTTGCAAGAAATTTTTAGAAACGTATCTATCCTGTGAAAAGAGAATCAGATGTACTTTTCTGTGTATTGTTTTTAAATTATTTTTAAAACATTGTTATTGAATCATGGCAAAAGATCAAATATGACAGAAATGGTTTTGAAACTCTTTGTGAGTTCGCAATTTTTATAAATCACGCTACTGAAGAGGAAAATTAAAGTTTGCTATTTCGTTCGAGGATTGCAAAATTCCTTGGCAAGTAAATGAAATGCGATGCCCATCAGGCAGACTCTTGTAGATACCAACATTTTAAGCAGTGAGTGGAATAATAATGTTGATCGTAATGTTAAGCAAGCAAGGAAAGAGCAAATCAGTGAACGCAAAAATATGGCGGCATTGTCAATAAATGTATGTCTGTCTGGTCTTTGTTCTTTATGAAGAAAGTTAGGGGAGACCTAAATGACTTACGGGACACTTCTGTACAAAGTCGCTTAAATTATGAAATAAATTTCGAAGCACCAATGCAACGTATTACCGTGAGAAGACCAAGGGCTCTTTTGAAATATGTATCAATCCAAACGAAAGGTCACTTTCTTACCTTGAAGTAATGCGGACAATGAATATGTCACGATCTACAAAGAAGCAATCATAATACTTACTTGAAGAACTATTAACATTAAGTCTGCATAACTAAGTGGGGCAGGAGAGAGGGAGACGTTCCCTCTGGCTTAGCATTTGATAACTTACTGCAACTTGAAGAAATTGTCTTTAAAGAACTAGGCCTTACTTCTTATGATTAACTGTAGTTTCAAATAACGACTTATTGTTTTTTCGAGCAAGGCTTTCAGTGTTTGGCGATGCTCTCCCTCCTTTTGTGGTCCACTTCCAGTGCTTTTACGGTACTCTTAAGGGATTGCCTAAAAAAAAAAAACACTTTTCATTTCCGCACACGATTCGTAGTGTTCCTGAAGATTGGCGGAAATAATGACAAGCGGTGACCAATACTTAAAACGGAAGACTTAGCTTTCCTTAAAAATTCTCAAAAACTTATTCGCGCTTCCAATATTACTCTACCTATTACAATCAGTACTGTGTGCTAAATAATAAAAAATTATTGTCAAAAATTGTTATCAATGTTAATCGCACTTTTTGATGAAAATAAAATGTTATCGAGCGTAGATGAGAAGGCAATGTTTACGACATAACGTATCCCACCCAATTTCAATACTCGATGGCTTATAACGGCATTTATATTATTCTATACGTTTGCAATTTTGAGAAGCTTGTTATGTAGGTGACCTTCGGTTAAAATGCAATCACGTCTTAGCTGCCCATTCCATAATTGTTGAAATTGAATAATACCTCATTCGTTACCCCCTCTTCAATTAAAGTTCAATACTACTTACGTTTAATCACAGAATCGCATTATATCGTAGAAAATGGAACTTTCCTGGAAATCAAATTTCATATCTATTCTATTTTTCTATGTTTTATTTATAGAAATTTCTCCCGATGCTAAAGCCGTAATTACTGGGCCGGCGGATTTGCATTTCAAAGTGGGAAGTGCTATAATTTTAACTTGTATTGTATATCAGCCATCAGTTAAAGATATTGGTCCTATATATTGGTATCGCGGTGAATATATGATAACACCTTTCGACATAAATGATTTGGAAAATGAAATTGCACAACCAACCTCACCATCAAACATAGGCCGCGCTATAGAAGATAATGTGAAACCGGGAACACCTTCTCACGCAGCGCATAAAACTGACTCATTAGAAGGTTATAGTGAAGGTGAACAACTGCCAAATGAAATTACTCAAGATTTTACTCAACGTATAGCTATGGAATCGCAATTAGGCGATACTATGAAATCCAGGTAAACTATTAAACAAATAAAACTGATAGCCTAACCTTACTTCATATTTCTTTTCTCCTGTTGCATGCTCGAAAATAAATGTCAAAGTTACGTTAACCTTAAAACGAATCTTAAGTGTAAACGATTCAACGTAGTCCAACTTAACTTTACAATGTTCAATTCAATTTTGAAAATGCTTTTCATTTGTATTCTGACAAGTTTTATATAAAATTTGCTTTTAACAGCAACATAATAAGCTTTTGAAATGAATGAAAACCGCTTTTCATATAAAGGACATTGACTATAATTACAATAATGATCATTGTAATAGTAAAGTGAAAGCGTAACTATTGAAAAGCTTACTGAAGTTTTAATTTTTCAATTCATTGATTGCAGATTACGTATATCGAACGCTCAGGCTTCAGATACGGGCAACTACACTTGTCAACCCACCACAGCGAGTAGTGCCAGCGTAATGGTTCATGTTATCAATGGTAAGTAAATAACAATGTTCAAGCCATGCAACAACACATATTATGCATCATTTCTTTTATATTTTCCCGTATTTCCACCTCTCTAGTTAATTAAAATCGTTCCATTGAACGCTCCGTTGTAATATGCAACGAACAGTTACTTAACTTTATGTATATTATTATTTGTAAGTGTAAGGTAATACAAGGAAATAGCTCGCTGAGACCACATAAATTATATTTTTAATAAACATAAGTTTCGAAACGGTATAATAATAAAAAAAAAAAAAAAAAAAAAAAAAAAAAAAAAAATGAGAAAAAATATATCGGGCCGCGTTAATATTAAATGTGCGATATTTGATTGCAATACGAGACAAAAATGCATTCATGCTTCGAAACATTAAATTATATACAGTATCATGCATATGCTACATGCAATAATATATATCCTGATAACATGTATTTGTGTGGATTTAAAAGCACTTGTACAAATAATTATAAATACGCCATTATTTACTTACTTCACTTACTTGTTTGCGGATTTATTTATTTATTTATATATGCAATTCAACCGCCTTGGAAAAACAACCGAGATGAGTAAATAAGAGAATCTTAACATGTAACTTAAACTCTTGTAAAATGTTATGACTCAAAGGAAAGAGTGACAATAAAATCCATTCTTAAATAAACAAATGAAAGGGAAAAAAGAAAAACACATCTAGAAAGCACACATACACATCTATAGGGGAGTTAAAAGTGTACCGACCAAACGTTGGAAGTATGCAAAAGTTTTGCAGCCGATGTCAATAAATATTATGTCTAATCTTATCACGACTTCTGAGAATTGTAAGAAGTATTCAAGATTCAAAATCAATTTAAGTGCGATATCGGCAAGACACGCATATTAATGGGAGTTGACATGTTATATATATATACATATATATATATTTATATCTACATTAATACACGCCTCTCATTATCATTGATATCATTTAGATTTTTGCGAAGAACCCTGAATGGATTGAGAAGTTCCTAATTACGTCTACATTAGCTGAGCTTTGTGGGAAGAAAAAGGCGATTAAAACGGGTGGGCCGATAGTACCAATTCTTGAAATCCCCAGAGCTTCCCCAGAGAAAATCCATTTGTATAACGCAACATGAGAGTAATGAATCACCAACCTTATCCCCCATAAAGTCTGGTCTCTCAAAATTCATAAACAATAGATTAAAGATTATTGAGCAGAGGCACCTTCCACCAATTATTTGTCGCATTTGATAATTTGATCGGAGATAATTGCGAAATTTTGAAAAAATTTGAGAAATTGAGGATTTCTCATTGGTATCAGCAATGTACAAATCATTTTCCCGTTTCTTTCCTAGAAGTTTAGATGGTATTTAATTTAATAAGTTACGGTTCTTAATCTGTTACACTCCATGTAACATCTCTCTCTCTCTCTCTCTCTCTCTCTCTCTCTCTCTCTCTCTATAAAGAGTATCTTGTTATCTTTCAATAACTACAAGTACTTCAGTGCACTGTACTCATACAATGAGATGCAAACTAATTTATTCACTAAATTCACATCTGCTTGTTTGTCTTTCAATTTATCTATCCATCCATCAAATGTTGAACCCTTCAAATCCACAAAATGCAAAATAGAAACCTGAAACTTTACACATATTGAAAATGAATGCAATCTGTATATAAATACGTTTTGAATAGTTAGAAGAAAAATAACTTCAACATTAGAAAAGCTTGTCATCAACAACAACAACTTGCCAACTACAACAAACGCTGGGAGTTTTTAGTTTTAGTTTAACAAAAGTTTTCGCAAAATTAAATGCAAACATTTTTCGCAAAAAAAAAAAAAAACGCGTAGACGATTCTCCCAAACGGGGAGTGAATTTTCTTTATTTGAATAAAGGAGAAGTGATGAAAGGAGCCATCAATGTAGCAGAAAACGTCGTGGACTTGAGAATTCAGATCGGTGAAGCGATCATGTGTTCAAAGCCCCGAAAAAATCAATTAAGTTCAGTTCGGCGGTGCAAAAAGCGCTCTATTGCAGCTGACATGCGCGCTAATTACACCACCCTGAGCCGAGCAAGATTGGATGTACAATTTTAATACGTGGGTGCAAGCTTCCAGGTCTTCCTTGGAGATTTTCGATTACGTGCAGCAAAGATGCAAGGATGTGTGCCTGTGACGTAATCAATACTTTAAAGGAAGATATGTACCTTCGTATAGGTATCTCCATAGCAGATGTTTTGCCGAAATAAAAGCGATTTGTCTGCAATTCAAACCATTCAATAAAGCCGCTCGGCTTCCCCCGCGTTCTCATTCGCTCCGTCTACACAGTGCAGCCTTCCTTTGGAACAACATATGTGCAGTGGCCTTTTCCAACGCCCTTGTCTCTCATGTACATAAGCACTTCCTTCTCCATTGTTTCATTCCTACCCCCTAATCGCATTTATGTGAGGCAAACCTTTGGTCAGATAAAAGAAAAAAACCACTGTCTCATCATATCATCTTAGCTTAATGTTATTTGGTTTTTTCCCATTTCTTAATTAAAATTATTTCAAAAATTTCTTTACTTTTAGATGAGAATCCAGCAGCTATGCAAAAGAGTCGAGGTGAAGGACTCAAATCGATGACAATGACAACCGCGATTGTCATCGGCCTTGCAAACGTTTCATCTAAATTACTGGTGCTGATGTTAACAACGGCTTTCAGTTTCAATACATTGTTAAAGTTCCTTTGCCATGAAAATTAGAAAATAGAAGATAAAGAAACTAAAACAAAAACAAATATTATGGTTTCAAGCATAAATACCAATGTCATCAACATACCAACGCACCGTAGTAGTCAATTTTGAGAATGCGATGCCAAACAAAGCAATTGCTGTCGTGGTTATCCAGCGCATATATAGTGCGGCTGTTATTGTATGTCTATATGAAAGCTCTCTATATAAATAAAAAGCACGAGTGTGAGTGCATTCCATGTAAGAAACAGATAACATGAAGTATATGCAACAGAGCAACAACACATCAGTAACCTTTCTTCTCCGTTACATTGTCATTGTCAGATTCATTCAGAAGGATGAACAGCAAAGAAAAAGGAAAAAAAAAAAAAAAAAAACGAAAACACTGCCTTTTGTTGTTGTATTTATATATGTATGATATCGTTAGCTGTTACTTTAGTTAGCTGCATTTTAAAAACAGTTTTCCCTTTCCCTTTCCGTTTTCATTTTTTTTTTTTTTTTTTTTTTTTTTTTGTAAATCTCTTACGCTACTGTTAACAGCTTCTACGCTGCTTATCATTTGCAGCTAAGAAGTCTCTCATTAACAACATCATCCTTCAGATGACATGAAGTAGCGTAACATAGTTCTGCATTAAATTTTAAATAAGTTTTCGCTGCCGCAACGCCCGGCAATTTCTTTGCCAACAAAGAGCAACAAATTTAAGCAACAATCTCTACTTTTACACGACTCTTAAAAAAAAAAAAATAAATAAAAAAAATAAAAAAATAAAATAAAAATAAAAAAAAAAGTACCATATTCCGCTTGAAATGTTTCACTAAAAAATTGGAAAAAATACTTTGTTTACTTAAAAAGTATTTCAATGTAAAACTTTAATAATATTATTTTAGCCGAAACTTTAGTTCTTTTATTCAAATATTCGTTAACGATAAGGGAATAATTATATATGGCTTGAGACGAATTTTCTAATCCCCTCTATTTTTATTATTGTACCGAATGCGGATACTTAACAAATAATGTAGACTTAAGTTGCCTTAAGTATAAGCTTTAAACACATTTACGCAAATTTTTTTCTTTAAATTTTATTAATATTTTACGTATTTTTTCGCACAAGGCAGCTTTCGAAACGGAACAAAGACCAGCACGTCCAGCGCTTGAGATTGCGAAACTTTTCTATACTACATCCATTTCACCAATAGATCTGTGCGTTTCCTTTTTTGTTTTCGGCATGCATCTCGATCGGCTGGTGTTGAAACCTTTACGTTCCCAGTAGAGTTAAAACCGCAACTCAAAATGTTGCAGATAGGCACAGTTGAGATATAAGGAACAATTGAAATTCAAAAAATCCACTTACTCTTATGCCCACAATAAAGAAAAAACTTTCGTGTGTAGCTTTTATTAGATGTTCATAAAAAACTTGGCACAAATATTTTCCGAAATTTTCTGGAAAAACGGTCATGACCTGTCTACGCTTAGGCCCGCGACAACCAAAAGATCTTAACTCACAGCTCATGTCAAATATTTATATGAAACTTGTCACAGATATTTCCCGTAACCATCCGAAAATTCACTCAGAAATGGTGATTATAATCTAGCCTCCACAGACACCCAACTGTGCCTTTCAGTCAGGTCCAGCTAAGAAATCAACATAAAATAAGTCTGTTAACTAATGCGCTCCTACTTAAATAAAATCTTTTACAATTTTTAGGTTTTGTCTTAAGGCGAATGTAACTTGAATGTACTTGCATTTTTCCACTCGCTGTCTTTACAATTGCCCACATTTCCTTCGACTTGCTGCGTTCGCAAATACAAAAGAGTATTAAACGAAGCAATTTTTTTAAGTGTTTTCTCGCTTCTTCTATGCCTTCCTTGGTCTTTTTGAAAATTTTTTCAGTCACTATATATATATATATATATATAAGAAAATGATATATATATATAAGAAAATATATATATCATTCCAAAGGGACACATAGCTATCCTACCATCGGTAAGCTGTGTTTCATTGCAGACTTGTAAAAACTTCGAAAGCTGTGAAGACAAGACCTAATAGTTTTATTGGATCGATTTCATATTTATTGGAGAAAAATTATAAGAACCTAAAGCCAATCATTTGTTTTACGTTATATAACCAACCGAATGAGCAAATTAGTTTACCTTCGGCCTGTGGCAGTGAATAGAAAAACTAACATCAAAAACAGTTTTCACAAAAGAGAGAATAGCACCAAAGGCAGCCACCGCAAAAAAAAAAAAAAAAGAAATGTTTATATATATGTATGTACATATTATGCTTTCCTTTTAGTTTCATATTATGGTTGAAATGATTTTTATTTTCGCTTCCTTTACTTTTTATTAATTTTTCTTTGGCAAATATAGAGTTTTACTAAAATTCAATATTTACGCAAAAATTTCCATTTCATAAGTTAGATATATATATAGATATATATTTTTACGGTAAATATATAACAAAAATGACTAGATGAAATTTTGCTTTTATTTAAGCGGAACAAATTTGTGCAAATGTTATAATGACAAGAGGTAAAATGTAATTTAAATGTCAGTTTGTTAAAAGCGTAAAACAATTTTCTGAACAAGAGAATAGATAGATACACAACGATAGCTAATTGATTAGCTAATTGCATGTATCACGGATTACATTTTGATTAAATAGTTGTTATCACTTAAAAAGAGATTTTAATCGATTGCGTTTTTTCATAATGTTTTCAAAAAATTTAATATTAATTCGCATAATGTAAAGGTCTCGATATTATCTTTCAATTTCACCTGTAAAGCATATCCTTGATAAGAATTAAGTTAATCGAAACTTGTAAAAAAGTTTCTTTTAAGCTTTTGATTAATATTATTGACTTTTGGTTCAATTGCCAACCAGTTTACCTTATCATCTAAAACAGGAGGAATTTTTTATTCGGCTTACACTGAATATACAAATACCAATCACCGGTTTCGAAAATGAGAAAAATCTTAAATAACTTATGGTGATTATGTCATATGTAACCTTGACATATGCATATATATATTTACATGAGTTAACGTCTCGAAATGCTATTTTGATCAAAGGAAGTAACTATCTTTTTCACTTAAATAGGCAAATAGTTCTTGTTCCTTGAAAAAAAAATCCTTTTCTTGATTCGATTTTAACTTTTCAAACAACGGAAAAAAATTATTCCCGTAGTGCTCCATCAGATAAATTCGAGTATTTCGAACCGCTGCAGAAATAAATTCCAAGACTAAGGTCAGCTTTCTCGAAAACTCTACGAAACTTAAGACTTGAACCCACGACCATTGAGTTGTTAGTCGAAAACCTTTGCCGACTCGTCCTCTCAAGCGGTTGGAGTATAACTTCTGATGCAAAGCAATTTCGAAAAATCAATGTCGTGTGTGCGTTATCTGAGTCGCCTTTACGTCATCAATGTTCTCTCAAAACGATCCAAACGATGTTTGCTTTATGGTAACAAGCTTTCTTTAGTTTCTTTTCTTAGGTAATATTAATCGATAGACGTCGACTTGCTAGTACGTTCATCGTCGTCATAATCCCAATGAATGCCTCTATGACAATTAATGTTTATATTTAGGCTTGGTTGTCTGTCTGTCTTTCTAATTATTTTCTTGTGTCATTCGACAGATCGCAATTTTTGAGATATTTTGATTCAATTCGGTAAACTAACGTGCTTAGGTCCAAGGATCAATTGAAAATAGTTTAGATCGGACCACGTTCTTGACTACGTCAGTAGGTATAGTTTAGTATATAAATATTCTTTCAAGCCAATTGCGATAATGTTAAAGGAGGGAATTTGGAAACAATTTCTGAGACCTCAATTTATAATTTGAAAACAAAGGGTGTAGTATTATCGATTTTCTATTTATTTCAAGCAAAATCATGGGATGATTCAGAAAAGAGAGAGCATTCATTATGTCAAGTCGATCCCTGAGCACAGCAAAATATTGGCACACATCGATTGTTGATGCGATGGCTGGTGATTGACTGACGCTTTTCTACACTGATTTGTTAGAAGGCTTTGGGCAACTATTACTTAGAGACGAAGACAACTAAGTCGAGTCAGGATCCTACGCTAACCAAGCATATTAGTATCTGATCCGTATTTCTGGCTTTAGCAAGCATATATTATATATCCCTCAGAACGCGATGATGGGCGTAAAAATATGATGTCACGTTTGTTATTCCAAACAAAGAGTCGAACTCGATTTGAAGCAAGCAATCAGACAGATCTCCAATGTGTATTTCTAGTAAAAAGTAATAATATTTTAGCAAATCTGTAATACATTCTATGTGTTAATAAATTAAAACACCGGGCCTTAACAACATTACATTATCCATATGTACATGTACATCTATACACATTAGATATACGCCCTTATAATGAATATAATAAATTAGTTTTAATTGTAGTCTGAAAGTGACATAAAATAAATGTATGTATATAGTACATTAGTTTAACGTAAAGAGTAATTACGGTGATAACTATAATGTGTAATCAAAATGAATTCAATAAAAAAATTGGAAAAAAAACCTGGTAAGCTTTTAATTTTGTTATCTCTTTCACGAATCATCGAAAATTGTTTGCTTTGCCTGTATGATGTAAACGGCGCTAATGTAGTTGAATACTTTATAGACATTTTTTTCGTTAATCTGACCTGCCCATCAGAGGACCTCCACTCCACGAATATAAACAGGCTGACAATCAGAAAAAAAATTCTGAGTGGGGAGAGGGTTAGGATGTGACCTTAACTTGGCAGATATAATCGCGCTCGGTAAGTGTTGTGTTCTTACGGATTGAATATTCACTGCAGATGCGGCCGTATCGGCTAAAACTTTATAAATTTTACAAAATAAATATCACGCTTAAGAGTTTCATGAATTGGAGGAAACATTTACAGATTACTGCGGAATATATGTATGTAGGGAAATTTTCAATCTCAATGTTTACGAGAAAGCTTGATCCAAAGTAAGACGTACTCTTTTTTTTTCACTAATGAAAAGATCACTTCCGCTATGGTAAGCCATCTTTTACAGAGCCATCATTTGAAGCCGTCTTCAAGGTCATCTTCTAAAATCTGATCAAGGGGCTCTATTATCAAAAAAAAAAAAAAAGAAGGATTTTGTGATATTGCTTGGAAGAAAAGATAACAGAATCCATTCGAGGTTGCTATTAAGCGCATTCTCCAGTATTAAAAAAATTACTTTTGGAAAATATTAAAAAGTAGCAACACCGAAAGCATCGCCTGTTTAATTCGAGGGTCACTATGTAGTCGATGTAAATTTGAGAAGAAAAAGTCGCTTAATCCACATCACCATGTCGAGAAATGAAAGAATGGATGTGAAAAGTCTTGATACTTTTGTGATTGATGAGTCAAAAAGCATGGAAGCAGTTCCAGTGAATGGTAGCAAACGGTCACAAAAAACGGTCATTACACGACGTAAAGTGTTTTGAAAGCCAGATAAAGTAAAACAAATCTGTTTTTATGGAAGCAAAAAAAAAAAAAAAAAAAAAAATGATATTTTACTCGTTACTCACAAACTAGAACAGATAACGCTACAAAAACTTGTACGTATATTACATGGATGATCTGGTACGATGCTGTAGACACTTTATATAAATGAAACGAATCTTCCCCGCCCGAAACGTTGCTTTATAATAATAGGATTGTGGGCATAAAAGATTTAGCGAAACCCGAATGTTGCCAAAATTACCTTACAGTGGTAAATAAATGAAATTTTTCATGAATATCTCCAAGGAGGAGATACAAAACAAACGGGCTTTTATTATTATCAAGTTCATAGCAGTTTTTCAGCACTTTTCGGAGTGGGTTTGAACAGATCATAATGATCGGCTTTTGTCCTGTTCAAAAAATTGATTTCAAGGCAGACCAAATTCCAAATTCCATTTATAATTATTCCATATTTGGCATTACTAATAAATATACTGTTAAGTTGACAGATTTTAGTAGAAATAAATCAAATAAATATATGCACACTTAAGGCAAGGTACGCAAATTTTAAAATTCCCTAAACATTA